GAGCCACACAACGGATGACCTCTGTTCGCTGGGCAACTTCAGGGGCTTACTGCTTCTATAGCCTCATTTTGTATGCCTGTCACCTCCCTCATCGAGCTCGGGCCTCATGAGCTTCGGCCAGAATGTCTCTTCCTCTCCCTATTCCCTTCTCCCCACATCTTTACTCCTGGCTAATTCTTTCTTACCTGTCATGGTGCAGCTGAAATATCACTTCCTCCCAGAGGATTTCTCTAACCAAGATTCTGTATGTCAACCTCCCACCATTAGACACTGTCATATCACAATTTGGAATTCTATATTTAGTTCCTATTATTTCCTCCATAAGAATAAAAATTCCATGAGATCAACTGTAATTTTTTTTTGACTCTCTATTGAGGACTCAGCCCAATGCCTAACAACAAATATTTGCTGAATAAACACACTTCTATCCTCTGTTGAACACCCTTTTTGTATCTTAGACTTGAAAAGATAGGGTCTTTGGAATCAGATCTGGTTCTGACACCCACTAGCAAACCCACTGTGTAACTTTGGACAGGTTGTTTCACCTCTGTCTCCCCAGATGGAAAGTGGGAAAACTGTATCTGTGTTATGGTAAAATTCAAAGGAGATCATGCATACATAGGGCTGATCATAAAGGTATTCAATAAAAAGTCAATTTCCTTTCTTCTGTGTTTTTACCTAAACTCCAAATGTTTCTAACCCAGTAGATGCAAATGTGCTTCTATTATAAGGACACCTTCTCTAATATATTTGGAGGTAACAGGAGAACAATAGTATTTTTGACAGCACAGAGACCTTACTTTAAAACACCAGATGGCAGCACCAGATGCTAGAGATGTGTCTGATGGGCTCTTAGTTCAAACCTAAATATCAAGGATGACAAAGGTAGCTTAAAACTAGATTCAGAGAGAATCATTTACGGAAAGAGATGATTTCCCTAAAGAACGCCTAATTCATAATATAGTATGGGATTTTTAGGAACAATGTTTCACAGGTTACAAGCAGAATTCTAAGAAAATAACCCCAAGCATTATCTAACCAATAAAAGATAATGAGACTAAGGCTTCATTTTGGTTTGTAGTGATATTTAATTAACTGCTGATCTGTGTTCCAATTAGCCAGAAAGGGCCTGAAATCAAAGAGTGAAAGATGATTGGGTTTTAGAAAAGGGCAACATTTTTCCCCAAATATTAAAATGCTAGCACTAAAATTTATTCACTCATTAAAATCAAGAGCAGTAATGACCTCTATTACTGTACCCGTCAGCTTCACTTAGGAAATTGCTTACTAAAATAGACAGTAGGCTTACTAAAGAGACTAAAATTTAATAGACGAACTAAATGCAATATTAACATTTAAAAGGATAATCTATGGGTTTCCATATTAGGCATCGAAACTTCATCTGGATGTACCACCACTTTTAAAATCTTGCTAAGGTGGAGATTGCTTATGCAGCCTTTCCATTTGTTTTTGGAGGAAAGAAAGAAAGGGTGATTCAGCTCATGAAACCATATCATGCAGGTGCAGTGACCCCAGAGCTGTCACACCTTCGAAATAAAGATCCTCACTCAGGGTTTTATCCCGCTTACATACTGTTTAGCGTCCTTCAGAGCTCGCCTGTGAGATCAGAAAGGGTAAATGCAGCCTTGTGTTCTGGAGGAGACACAACAGGATAACTCAAACGCATGAGTTGGTTAGCGGGCAAAGCAGAGCTAGAGCAAAATGCCCGTGGAAGTCTCGGAGAACTCATCTCAGGCGGCATTTATTTGCGTTTGGGTTTGATTGAAGGGTAACAGCAGCGCCTGTGTCATAAAAGAACTGAGCCAGTCTATGTTGGAGGAACATTCTGAGCAGAGGCAATTCACTCTGCCAGCGGAACAGTATTGTTGCCCGACCGGAGTGCATCGTTTTCCAAGCCCCGCAATCATGGTGCTGAAAATATTCTCCCTCACCCGAATTCTCTACGAGACTGGGCCCTCTGGGAGCACCAGGCAAGCTCTGATGCTGATCCGCCATCAGATAACGATTCTAGAATCTGATTGACGAGAGAAGCAGCGCATATCGGAAGGGCGACAAGAACAGGCCTGTGCCAAAGCCAGAAGTCGGCTGTCACCGGCTGAAATATGGAGATCTAATCGTGCACAAGGCAGTGATCTTCAGGGGAAATGGATGATTTTCCATAATATTTCAATTTTGAATGATACAATGAAATTGTACTTCTAAATTTTCAATGACACAAAGGAAGAAAAACAGCAATAGATCAAATCGTAACTGAACGAGAAAACCACACTGCCTGGGAGAGGTTTCCTGGTGAAAAGCACTGTGGAATGGCAAATACCTCTTCTAGGGAAGAAATCAAGTCCCTTGCTTCAAGAGATCTTATGCCTCTCTGAAGCCTACCAGTTTTCTCCATTTTAATTCATGCAAGCTTGCTTTAAGTCTGGCAACGAAAGGGACCCTATGTTGGATGACCTTCCTATGCCCTTCACGAAAGCCTGTGTGGTCCCCAAACGGGCCAGCACACGACTCACAGCCATGAGCGCCAACTTCCTGCTGCCCTGCGGCTCCTCAGGTCCAGGAGCAGGGTTGGTGGTGCTGTGACACAGCCATGTCCTCCAGATGTCTTTGTTCTGACGGATAGCCCCCGCTTTGATCTAAACGCCCGAGTCACCAAGGGCCACCACTGTGGCCTCCTCTTCTGACATCTCCCCCCCACCGACGCCTGGCTGAGCAGGAGGGGTCTTCCTGGGAAGCCGTGAGCCCGGGCCAGCCTCTTTCAGCAGTCACGACTGAGTGAGAACACGCTGTGCTCAGTCTCTTGGCACAAAGTATGTGTTACAACAACGAGCACAGGAATCCTGACCATGCTCTTCCCTATCTCTAGATCTGTACTGAGAACATGTGAAGCAAATGCATACACTCAGGAAACAGGGCTGCGAGTCAGAGAGCTAATGGACTCGCCGATTCGTGGCCCTGAGACACAGATTCTTGTGTTCTCTGAATCCAGACCCCACACATTTTGGAAGAAAAGCAACAGCCAGGAGATGGGAAAAGCAGATCATGTTTATGAGACCAGCCTGTAGCTCATGCCACACTTAAGAGTGTGGGTTTTGATTTCGGTACAGAAACTAACCATTCTTTCTTCAGTGTTCATCGGAAAACTCGCCCAGCCTCTCTTAGTCTGACTCTTGGGCTTTATGATCATAGTCTTGGAATCTTCTAAACCAGTAAGTTTCTAATCATTTCATTTTAAACACGGAAGTGAGAGAAAAGTACTAGAAGACTGCCAATGTAATGCAATACAAAAGTAAGGAAGAAAAGTTGCAGTAAAAAGTAAAAAAAAAAAAAAAAAAGGCTACTTCCCATCCCCTAACCCCCAGTCCTTCTGGTTTAATCTTTTAGAAGAACTTGGGTAACCTGTTGCCCCCAAACCATCCATTAAAAGATAGGGGTGCCTGGGTACCTGGGTGGCTCAGTGGGTTAAGCTGTTGCCTTTGGCTCAGGTCATGATCTCAGGGTCCTGGGATCGAGTCCCACCATCGGGCTCTCTGCTCAGCAGGGAGCCTGCTTCCCCCCTCTACCCCCCCCGCCTGCCTCTCTGCCTACTTGTGATCTCTGTCAAATAAATAAATAAAATCTTAAAAAAAAAAAGAAAGAAAGAAAGGGGTGCCTGGCTGGATCAGTCAGTAAAGAATGTAACTCTTAAAGATTTTTTTTTTTATTTATTTGTCAGAGAGAGAGAGAGAGAGTAAGCACAGGCAGATAGAATGGCAGGCAGAGGCAGAGGGAGAAGCAGGCTCCCCGCCGAGCAAGGAGCCCGATGTGGGACTCGATCCCAAGACACCAGGATCATGACCTGAGCCGAGGGCAGCTACTTAACCAACTGAGCCACCCAGGCGTCCCAAGAATGTAACTCTTGATACTGGATTCATGAGTTTGACCCCACATTGGGCGTGGAGCCTACTTTAAAAAAAAAAAAAAGGAAAGCATCCCTACAGGTGAGGTGTTCTAGGTAGCAAACCATAGAGAAAATATTTTTACCACTGCCTATTTCTCATGATTTGATATCCTGTAAGGATGTCACAGAATGGTGCAGTCACATCCGCCCAGGCTTAATGGCAGGACAAAGCACAAGGACCACGGCTTGTGGGGAGTCAACCTCATAAGCATTCTTGCCCAGTTATGGTTGATGGTGAACCTTCAGGTAAACAATACTTCACCATACGGGTTAGGGACCCATGGTGTCATGCTTATTCCCAAGTCCCCAAGTGGGGAGCAGTGCCTGCTGGCCAACCCAAACACAGGACTCAGAGTAGCAGTGGGAACTGAGCCCTTCCCAGAACCATGAACCCACACCTCGTCGGTTCAGGGTGTGCCCTGGGGCTTATGTCCCGCATATCATAATCACGTTAAAAGAAAACATGCTGTATTGGAGGAGCACGTCTCTTTCTGTGAGGGCTCCAGTGCCTAATTGTTGCTGAAGTCATTTGGGGTTTTTGACACAGATTCTATTTTAGTAAGATAAACTCAGCATAACCCGGCATTGCCAAGAATGAATTCCTAAGGTAGATGACTAAAATAAACCGGTAATAAATATTGGCTGTTGGAATGGGAATTATATCTCTGCAATGTAGACACAGCATTAATGACTCATTTTCAAATAACAGTCTCTCCCAAGGATTATTGGTATGAGGAATCAGGGAAGAAGGACGTCCATCTCTCTTTGAGGAGGCAGAGTGGAAGAGGACTATAAACCCACCGGGCAGGGATGTTCTTAGATCGACTTTGCCAACCAAGATAGAGGGTCCGACAGGGGTCAACCAGGAGAGACTGCACTGAGGCAGAGGCAAGGCATTGAAAGAAACCATTCTAGGGGCTGAGGCAGCTGATTCTGGGGATAGTTTTCTCTCATTCTCTCATTTCTTTCATATCCCCTGGGGATAGTTTTCTCTCAATGTACCCATGGGTCCACTCAATGCATCTCACGAGGCATGAATTACCTTATCAGTCACCGTGGGTGCCTCCATGTTCCTTTGCTGTTTGGAACTAGTGGACTCTTTTAGGGCATCTTTACTCCCTAAGGTTAAATTCTGAATCTTTGGCCCACTAGGTTGAGCTTTACAGCTCCTCTGGTGTACCAGAAGGCAGTCCGGGGCAAAGGTCCGGCCACAGTGTGGACAGGGCACCAGCTGGGTTTGACTTGGCCCCCCTTGGTTGGACTGTCCAGTGGGAAGTGGCTGAAGCTTCTGTGGGAGTGGTCGGCGGAGCTCCCTGGGGAGCCGGTCATTTTCTATTTTCCACTTTTCCAGGCATTTGGGCTCGTGAATAGGAAGGGACAGGGTGCCAAACTCCCTACCACAAATGTAGCAGATGAGAGTCTGTGGTCGGACGGGGATGCCACCAGCAGCCTTCCTGGGACCAGCACGATCATCAGAACTGCTGAGGGTTGGTGCTCTGGTCCCATCATCCTTGGGCTTGCAGCTTCTCTGGTGAACGGGAAGCCGATCTGGCAAGAACGTGCGGCCGCAGTATTCGCAGGGCAGCAGCTGAGCCTGGGAACTTTGGAACGCTGCCTCGTTCACTGCCTGAAGACCGTAGGACCCACTGCCCCCGAGAGGCTGAGGTTTGGAGGGCTCTGGCCTCCTCAGGTTCTTGGGCAACTTGCTGTTTTCAATCCGCCACTTCTCCAAGCACTGGGGTTCATGAATGGCAATTGACTGGGACCCAAATTCTCGGCCACAGATATAGCACACCCGGAATCCAGGCCTGCGGGATGGGATCACCGGGGGGCTGGGCTGACTTTCGGACATAATTCTCCTACTGGACTGTTTTGAGAGTATTACCGTTCCAGGTCTCGCTTTCTGAGGTCCTGTCTTTATTTTTCCTGCATGACTGACATTCTCTGTGTCTGGCAAAAGGCTAGAATGGGAGTCACCACAGAGAAGGGCCTGGTTGATAAGGAAGGTGGGCTCTTTAGAATGGTGGAAAGTCTGCTGCAATTTGTTGCAAATCCTTCTCTCCTTTCCTGTTTCCATTAACAAGCAAGTCTTTCTCTAGGCTTGCTCTGATTTCAGGCCAGACTCCTTTTGGGATTCTGCTCGGACTGAAGGTTAGTCAGGTTGGCTGTGCTGGGGTTCCACATTGTTGCCAACTTCTTAGACCCAGAGACTCTGACTCACAGCTTCATTGCAGGGCAGCAGTCTGGAATGCTGGAAAGTCCTCATTAAACCTCAGATGCCTCCAAGATCTGTGGGGGAAACATAAATGAAGAACTCATCACCACACACACACACACACACACACACACACATATCCCTTTGATCCTAAGTCGGTGAAGAGCAGTAATATATATATGTTTTTTACCTAGTGTCCTCTTTGGCTAGATAGTAACTAGCACATAAGAGCTGTTCAGTCAACGCTGAAATAAATTTGAAGAAAATTTCCACTATGAATCGCACTATTACTGTATTGAAAGTAGTGTTCTGCCCAAAGATCAACAATCACACACGGCACAATCCAACAGAGGCGTGATGGTGAGACCACAGAAGACAGAACTAAGACCTGTGACAACTCAATTAATGAAACTGCTGATAATGTAGAAAGACATTTTCTACTCTCTTAAGCATTCTTAACTTTTCAGTGTCATGGATCCTTTTGACAGTTCTCTGAAGCCTGTGGTATTAAAGGCAAAGATCCTACTATCCCAAGTGAAACGAATTTTATTGAAATAATTGATCAAATATCTTTGGTCATAATATGTATTTTATTGAAGATATGGTAACAGGCCCGACTTAATGAATGCCCATTAGCCTAAGCTTAAGAACATCTGCCAAAGGAATTCGATAGTGAATATTATGAATATTATCAGGAAAACCCACAGAGGGGGTAAACTTCTTATAACCTAACATGTATCCACTTTTCTTTGTGATGGGAATGGAGTGTGAATAAATTGGGGCCATAGATGTCAAACCAAGAATGCAACCCTGGCCTACAACCTTTCCTGGTAAATTATCTGTAGATTTTCCTGGGGATGAAGATGCTTAGATTTTGCTTGATGTTCTTTATGTAACTATTATACTTAATTCCTTGTATTATCTCAATCTCTATCTGTATCTATAGCTATACTGATAGATAATATAGATACTCATTTAATATTAGATAACATGAATAATATACAATTGGATAAATATTATCTATTTCTATATTATAGTTATGTATTACAGAATATATTATCATATATTGTATATATTATATAATATATATAATATATATATATTATCATATATAATAATATGTAATAATAATATGGAAGTTAGATAATATAGATAATATCTTTTATCTATAAATATACTTTATATTTATGTGTTATATATTGTTATGGTATCTATTATATTTATTATTTATTATTTTAAATTATTTTAAATTTAAATTATGTTAATTATCAATAATAATTCATTAATGTATATTATATTTAATCATACATAATTATATTCCATCCTAGATATTAAGATAGATATTATCTATCTTCAAAATTATTTTTGTAAAAATATGGCTCATGATTTTCCCCAAAAAACCAGAAGGGCAGGTTGATAGAATCTCATCATGGGCAGAAGTGTAAGGAGTTTTTACCCTGGAGAGAGGCAAGAGTCAGTTTCACCCAGGGTGAAGATTATTCTCTAGGGTCCAAGAAAGATTACCATTAGGCATTTTAGGGCCTCTTTCATTTCCTAAAGAGGGATTAGGGTCTGGGTGAGAGGTTCTGTATCACCGACCCCCCATCACAAAGGGAGCAGCTCCTGACCTGAGGCTGGACCCTGCAGACCACAGGAGACCCCTGAGTTCAGGCTGCTGGTAATATCACAACACTGGGCATTGAGTTTGATGAAGGACAAAAAGAGCTCTAAGACCTATGCCTTGTTTCTGTATTTTGGTGCCGAGGAAGGTCTGGATCTTTGCAAATAAGACAGACTATCAGATCAGCACTGGCACAGAAGGCAAGCGATTCTTCATTTTGACAGATCCTAAGACAGTGATATTAACACATGTGACAAAAGAATGCTGGCCCCAGGATAGCCAGCACAGAAAATGAAGCTCGCACAAACAAAATGTGTCCCCTGCCTGGCACCATCCAAAAGACAAAGGGGGTCTAAAAAACAAAAGGAACCTAGGAAGATGATTTCATGAGGTTTTGATCAGCATGTGGGGGAAATAATCTCCAAACCACTCTGCTTCCTTGGTTCGGACATCTTGTTTATCAAGGATCCTTGTTTTCCTTTCCATTTTGCTTCATACCAGAACGCTGCAGATAACAAAAGGACTTAAGAAGACAGGAGAAATCAATGCAATTACATAACCTTACTCCCCCTAAACTTACAGTTTCTCTCTCTCTCTCACACACGCACACATACACAGAAACGAACACACACACACACTGCTCCCAGCAGATCAGAATACTGGGGAGGCCCCTTAACTCACCCCAGCAACTCCTGTCTCCCTTAGGATCAGGTGAGAGGACGAGTATTTACTGAATACCAACTATGCATCAGATATTGTACAAATTTGTTATATACAGTGTTTCAGTTAATTCTCAAAAAGAAGGCAGGTATGATTGTTTCAGTTTTACAAGTGAAGACACTATGAGTCAGAAAAGACAAGAAACTTGCCCACGACAGTCCGTCTTTAAGTGACAGAACTGGGAACCCATTCCAGCTCTCTTTGGCTCTAGCAGTCGGCTCTTTCCATGATTCATTCTGCCTCACATTCAACCGACAGAGCTTCTTCTCTTTAGTTTTTATCCTGGTTTTAAAGTAGGAGGCAAACGTCTCATGGGAAGGCAACTAAGCTCCCATTGGCCTTTACACTGCCCTTGAGGAGAAGGAAGTGTCAAGGGGAGGAGGAAAACAGGGCACGGAGGGGGCGGGGGAATGGGTGTGTGGGGGACAAGCCCCTGTGATGGAAAAAGCAGGAAAGGGAGATTGGGGTTCCTGGAGACAGCATTTTCCCCGAAGCGACAGGGCTCATTTTAGTTTGCTGGAAGTGGTTTTCTCGATGATGTCGTCCGTTTGCAGCCTGTGCAATATAGAGCCTATTCCCGATCGCACCAACATCCCTGGGAGAAGTCTGTGTTATTACCTAGACGTGGGGATGGGCCAGGGGGACCTGGGGTGGTATAATGAGCGCAGGGTGAAAGCAAAAGCTGCCCCAAGGGGCCAGACGGTTGCTCCCTTCACGGCCCCTTCATCATTTCGATTAGGGATGGTTCTTGCAGCGAGCAGGCATTTTCCTGCTATACATATTTTCTCTGCAACAAAACTGAGAGCGTCATGAAATTCCTGACTGTATCTTAATAAATTTTTCCACTATCTCTTTCCTCCTTCAATGTCCTCCTAAAATTGTTATCTTACTGTGCTTAAAGTTTTCAAAATATGAAAGAGGAGGTAGCTGGAAGAAGTGAAATCTTTGGGAACCGCAGCATCTAATGGAGAGTCTTGTGTTGTTTCTTTCCACCCAGGATTCTGGCAAGGCCTAGCATGGCCAGCTACTCTCCCCTATATGTTAGTTCTAAAAGCAAAAGTACTGGAAAATACTAAATACGTACAGTTAAATCACTTAAGAAACTGGTTTGCCACACAGACACAGCGTAAAGCAACGTTGCGAGTTTATAAAGAGAACTACTTTGCAAAGCCAGCCAGCTCTACCCCAAGCAACCGTGGAGAAATGTTCACTCTAGTTGGTCTGAATTATCCATTTTGACCATATTTGCACATAGGATATTTAAAGAATGTCTTGGAAGGCATCACATTTTATCAATATGATGCCATTTTTCCATGCCCTTTGGGGTTCACGAGAAGGGAGAGACACTCACAAGGATGAATATAATAACCATGGAAATCCAAACCCATCTTGGCATAGAAGGTGTTTCCCTATTAAAAAAGGGGGGGAGAGAGCATAATCAAAGGATTAAATCTTTTTAAAAAATTTAGTCTTTTGAAACAAAATGAATGTAAGCAATGCATGCCCCCTTCCCTGTTAGTATAGAATCCAAATTCTTTAAATGGACAAATGAATAATTAAGAAAGATGGAGTTAAGCTGGTGCTGGCTCTGAGCAAAATTATAAAATAGAGGAGGTTTGTCTTCAATATCCTCCATCCACCCCATTCAGCAGGCTCCATTCTCCCCTGCCTGGTGTCTTTATATGCTCGCTAGTCTTCCTTATTTTTGAACTCTCCCTTTTTCAAAAAGGAGCTGATAGACTTATTCACACCAAGGCTTATGACTGATGAGGTAATATCCCTTCCACACTCTGGCAAAGACAATTAGTCCCCCACCAGTAGTAACTTTGCCCAACTTCCTCAGATTTAGAGAGCCCCAATTTTTAGCTGGGCACACGATTTCCCAACTTCAAGTGTGCAGGCCCCTTTGCAGAATTATATAAGACATGTCTACAGTGTGCTCCTCTTTTCTTCCTTCAAACTGATGCTTAAAACATGGATGTGATGGCTGGAGCTCTAGCAGCCATTATGGACCAGACTACAGACTACATTCATGTTACTCCTAACATGATGGAGTAGATAGATACCTGGATGGACTTGAGTCCTTAATAATGGTGGAGTCACCATACAAGCTCTCAAGTGTCACCCTTGGCCTTTATTTACATAAGAGAAATAAATATCTAACTGTATTGTAGCCACTTTTAAACAGTCTTTTCCTTGCATGAAAACTATAACTAGAACCTAATTCTAATGAGATACCATTGTATTTTAAGAGCTGCCATTGGCTTAGCATAAAATGAATTCTAACAGCGATATTTCAAACTTCAGGGTCTACTTTTATGAAAAGCGAAAAAAAATTTTTTTTGAGATAGTACACCTTGGGGGCAAAATTGACTTACTAAACATATACTTTTTCCTGAAAATCAGAAATACAAAAATTGAAACTATAAATATGAACCAATGGTCCTTAAGAAATTCATTCATGATCTTCCTTTCCTAGAATTCTTTTTTTGGGGAACAAATTTGAATGACATATATTTTCTACAAGCTTTGGAAGGAGCTAGAGTGCATCTGTTGTGATAATTATTGTCTGTGTATTCCAAATGCTCTTTTCTGTATTCAGTTTCCCTAGGCTCACTCTCGGACTCCACATGCTCCATAATAGACAGGATTAATCCTAACCTTTTCCCTTTGATACTTCAGCCCTAGGAATGGTATCTGCTGTCTCCTTCATAGAGTTGTGTTCTTTTTTTATCCTGCAAGTTACTATCTATGTAACGACTTCCTTCTTGGT